AAAAAACTGACACATACGAACGCCAAACCCTTTGAGGGTTTTACTATACTGACCTAGTACCATCACCCTGACTTGGAATTTCTCATCCCCCAGACAATAATCCCAAAAATGTTCCACAGTGTAACTATTGCCGGCAATAAATTTTCAATTTAGTTATTTCAATGGCTCATAGTAATTTGGCTGAAACCTATTCCAACTATCATTAATTAGAGTTCATTGCCATACTATTAAGCGAGAAGTCGTAAGTTAGATTTGCATCCACCCTCAACAGATTTCATGTATATATCTCACAAACCACTAAATCCATATAACCAAAGATACTGAGCACAAATGCTTCCCACAGCTCCTCAGTGTGAAGAGATAAGTTCGAGCAATAGCTAAGCCAACCCCTCTAAAACGATTATGCTGAAATCAAATAAAAGTGCAGTAACTGACTTAAGGAATATGCTAGGAACTTAAATGGAAAATGGACGAATTAGGTAAAATGTCATATCTCAACAACCATTTTTATTTATTTGCACTCTTATTATAGTTCGAAAATGTGTGATATCAGACTAAAACCAGGCCAACTTTTCATATAACAAAACTTTAAAAATCAAGAACCAATGAAGATATCGGAACAACACTTTCCAGATACATAGTGTCTCCAAGTGTGCAATGGTAATAATTTGCAACACAGTGTAACCTAGAATAATTTGTATGCGGTCCAAGAAAATATTTTTATTTGAGTCTGGCATACAAATTACTTCTGCGAGAGCCGTATATGTCAGCCGAGATGTTTATTCTAATCAAGAAGGCGCGTGTTTGCCAAATAGATGGGTATGTAGCAATAATTATGAATATATACATATATATAAGGTATGTATGTATGAACTTAAGTTGAATAAAATTAATTAGAATGCTATATTCAATTAAACAATTAACTTTCGAGTTAAAATATATAATAAAATAAGTAAATTTTGTAATTACTGTAAATAATAATTTAAAAAATAAAATAAAAACGGTTGCTGATTGGCTTCAAATTTTAAGAGGCTTAAATACGAATATTTTAGTTCCAAAATACTAGTTGGCCTTATCGAATAGTACTAGTATGTTTCCTTAAAATATATTGCATTTGTGAAATTTCATTATAAATGACGAAATCGAAAGGAGCTTTATCTTTTTTTAATACTGCTAAATCCTGCTTAGTTTATCGAATTTGCAATATGGAATGCGATACGTATAAATCGCACATTCATACATACACATATACATATGTACGTAAAATGTCTATAGATTGAATCTATGCATGTACTTTCTGACAACACCCAACATTGTTTCTATGTGCGCAACTATAACGTTTGGTCACGCCCTGCCACCAATCCTTTCATAAAACTGTAATTAGGAGTACGCTAAATAAAATAAATTTGATTAATAAACTGGCGCAAGACGAATTGTGTTATACGCTACATATTACTACTCATAAACCATCTGATCAAATTACCGAACCAGTGCATTTAAACTGCGAGAGCAAACACAATCGACAAAAAATTTTGATCTAGATGGACACACGACGTTTTTAATGCTTGTGAGAAATTTGATCTCCATATGTCATTTTGTTTGTTTTTGGCAACTATTTCGTTACGACAAAAAAATTTGCCTGGCAATTTTTACCATGGAAACAAAATTGAAGGAGTTTGCTAGCAATTTTCTTTTCAATGGAATCATCAATAACCCTATTTGAGTTGTCACTCCTACTTTATTAATCACGATAACGTCGAAAAAGTTAAGGAATCAGGGAAATTTGATTGGATTGAAATAAATATATTTGCTTGTGACTGAGAGATTCGTAGATATGTACAATCAGTAATGTGATGGAAAGCGCTCTAGGGACCATACACCGATGGGCGATATGAGACGAGTCTGGTACTCTTTACAAGAAGGTACAAAATCCCCCGCCATTAAACCTCACGAGACTCAACAGAGTTGAATTGACAATTAAGGAGCATACCAAGTAACTAGTAGTAATTTTGGAAAGCAAGTGGATATTGAAACTCAATGTGCAGAAGAGAGTGAAAAAGGCCAAAGGTGCTCTATATACATGTAAGAAAATGCTATATGTACTTGGGGCCTATCACCTGGCCTCATACCTCATGCATTGATGTTACAAGGCGATAGTCAAGCCAATCTTACTTATCGCTCTGAAGTGGTAAACTGTTATGATCAAAATTTCATAAAGGAAACCGATGCGCTGTTCTCTACATAACGGGAGCGGTAAACGGCGGCAATCAACCCACCACCAATCGACATTACAGTAGAAAGCCCAGCTTCAAAATTGATGGCATTAGGTGAGTTCTCTACAAAGACCTTCGGACGAGAAGCGGTCACACTAAAGGAAGATATATGGCGCAGAAGCTTGCGACACACCAGCGGAATTTACGATATCTACACAGATGTATCCAATATGAGCAATGGAGTGGAAGCCGGAATCTAGCTGGACCAGAAATCACTAAAAACGATATACAACGAAATTTACGAAAGGGCTGAAAGGTGGATCAGGAGGAGATAGAATGCCTTAAGTACATGCAGGATCACCAAGATCAAAAAACTATTAGGAAAACTCGCTTGCTTCTTACCACACTGTCTCGGAAAGGACTGGTGGACGGCTGTTGACGTCTTGACAAGTGACGACCTACTGTCATCACATGCGAGCCGGATGCTCAAAGTGGAGAGAAGTTAACATGAGAGAAACCCTGGAATACTTCTTATGTCTTTGCCCAGCACTATCTAGAACTCGACTCAAGTATTTAGGAAAGAGAAGTACCAAACGTAGCAAGCAAGTCGCTCTTGAAGATCGTAAATAAACGTTGGCGTGGTATGAGACGAATTCTTCACCTCAAATTAAACTGAACCTCCATCTGGCATTACTAAGGACCAGTAGGTCTATTTATGGCATGATAGAAGGGCCAATATAACTTAACTTAAAATAAATACATATACAATAAAGGTTCTAGTCTCTACGAAAACGTCTGGAGTCTTTGGAACTTGGAATTTTTCTCAGAACATACAAATATTCAATGTAATTTTCAAACAAAACTTATTGTAGGGTACACACAAACAATTCATTAGATAACTAAAAAAAGCCGGCGAATTTATTTATAAAATTTCAAAGCAAATCGCAAAATACATACACACATCAATATATCTGCATGAATGCACATGTCAACAATGCGAAAACAGCGAAATATCCACAAATAACTAGAGAGAGTGGATAGCGAACAGTAGAAATTCCATATATTATTGCCTTGCAATAATCTCGGCTGGATCTCTGTATTAATTTGTTATCAACTCAATTGTGACGTTTTCGAGAGAATGGTATAGAATAAATTTTGGAAGAGAATTGCTACATATAATTTCGCACGTAGACCGGAATAGTTTCAGAATTCAAAGCAACATGGCGAGCAGCGCACAGAACGCGACGGTGTCTTTCTGTCAGGAGAAGTGGAATCATTTTTTGGATGTAGTCGGTGTGTAGTAGTATTAAAAAAATAAAAACAATTAAATTAATAAAGATGTGCATTGAATTAATTTAATGTGTTATTATTCATTTTTTATTGTTTGGATACAATTTTCTAGTTATATCTTAATTTGAAAAATTTTAGGAGACGAACCAGAACGACTATGGGTATATGGCACAGTACTTTTGATATTTATTATTTATTGGCTTTATGCTGCCGTTTTAACTTTGGTGGATTTTACTAAGAAACCACATTTTGTACGTAAATACAAGTTGCAACCTGGTAAAAATGATCCCGTCGACACAAAACGTTTACTACCGGTAAGTTCACAATTTATGTGTATAAGAATTTAAGCAACGGCATACTATACATATCTATACAATATACACTTGTACACACAAATGCTATGCAAACCTAATTTTATATCCACAATAATAATTAACTTTCATACGACCTCGTAGGCTCTGCGCGTAGTGCTCTTCAATCAAACATTTGTGGCTATACCGCTGGCCTATGGCCTATATCATTTTGTTTACAAATATCAAAATACCCTGAATATCCGCGAATTGCCATCGATACAACAAACTGTTTTCGATTTGGCCCTATGCTGTGTGCTGGAAGAGATAATTTTCTATTATGGCCATCGCTTGCTGCACTATGGCGCCCTGTATCGTTATATACATAAGAAGCATCACGAGTGGACCTCACCCATTGCTGTTGTCGCACACTACTGCCATCCAATTGAACACATACTTGCGAATACCTTCCCCATTGCTTTGTCTTTGGGTGTGGTTCGTGCACATCTTGTTACTGGTTGGATATTCTTTGCCATCGCAACTTACAATATATTAAGTGATCATGCTGGCTATGCGTTCCCTTGGTCCCTAATTTCTGTGCCATTCCACGATTATCATCATGCTACATTCAATTATAATTTCGGTGTTTATGGTTGGTTAGACAGATTGCATGGTACCTATGGCGCGTATGACAAGTCTGGACAAATTGAAGCGAGCCACAGACCCCAACAGAAACAAGAATGAGGAGTTAAATTATATTTTGACCAATATTTTTCATCTTACTAAATTTAAATTATATTTTGACAAATATTTTTCATCCTACTACCTCGTTAAGCAAGCTTCTTCTACGTTTGTATATACATACTTTTAGTTATGCACAATTTTAAGTATTTTAAAAGAATATGCATATAATTACATTTTTTATTAGCCACTAAGCAGTAAAAAGCATTTAATGTAAATATCATTTCGAACTTCAAAATAAAAATCATATCACAAAAATAAATTAAAAGGTTTTTTCAATTAAAGAAAACTTATTAAACATTTACTAGCAAAGTTTTAGTTCTTGTATTGGTATCAGCATTGCGAATCAAATCAAAATCACTGTTTATTAACGTTGAGTCTCCAGAGTTTTTCTGTTTCCCATGGACCATGGCATGCATGGCATGCTACCTAATTTATTTAGTACACCATCTAGCGATCACTCACGCAATCACTCCGATTCTAAAGTCAAGCTGCACCGTGTAAACAAGGCCTAACATAAATGTCGACATTGTCTCTGGTTGATAATACATCATTCGGAGATCCCCCCAACTTTCAGTCTGATGGGAGTGAGTGAGTGGTGTTATTTTGTTTCGTTTGTTACTGAGATCAATAAACACTGGATTATTTATTTAATATTTAAAATTGAGTAAAACAGACAGAAATTTTGATTTGTTCGTTTAAACATTATTTCATTATGTCGAAAAGAACATATTTAAGTGGTTCACAAAAAGCTCACTTCATTTTTACGGTTGAAGAAACAAATAAAGCGAGGGATTATTCATTCTCATCACCGCAAGACAAAAGTACCTCTGATTGTCACCAGGGAAAAGAGGTTACATGTGACGAAAATGGCAAACATACATTAGATGCTCAACCATCGACTTTAACCCACTGTGAATGAATAACTGCAAGCTTAGAGAATGTATCTGCGTCTCCTGACCCTGGTACTTCCTGTGACGACATTTTACCGGAAGAACTCCGTGATATTTGGATTCGAAAATGACCAGAGTTTTTCCAAAACATAAATAGTGACTTCCCTGAAACTTCTACAAGTTTTCCAGCTTCAAAGGGTAAAACGAAAACTAGATACTTAACTAAAAACATTTTTATTCGTGAATTGACGAATGGTGAGTCTTTACAAAGAAAATGGCTCAATTATTCACCAGCAAAGAAATATGTATACTGTTATTGCTGCAGTCTATTTAATGCCACTACTGGTACTGGACGAAATTTAAGTTCTCCTAATGGATATAAAGATTGGAAGTATATAAGCACAATTATGTTGCAAGAATGAAAACTACTGGACGAATTGATACTGAGTTGCTGTCCCAATATAATACAGAAATTAACTATTGGAAGAATGTGCTTAGGAGGATTGTTGCGGTAGTGAAATTTTTGGCTTCAAGAGGTCTTACTTTTTGTGGCGATAATGAGACTGATTAGTGAATTTGATCCTTTTATAAATAATAAATTTATTAATTTAATGGGACAGCAAGTTTTGAAAACCATTGTCAAAGAACTTAAATCAGCTAAGTACTATTATATCAGCGTAGATTCTACGCCAGATCTGTCCCACTTTGACCAACTAACTTTCAGTGGAAAATTTTGACAGAGCATATTGGAGCAAATAGAGTCATAAAGTCCCTTTCGGAAACTAGATGGTCTGCACGTAACAATGCTATTAATGCTTTGCAAAATGGTTATTTAAATATTTCTGAAGTATTGTCTACAATCGCAAGGTGACAGCAGCCTAGAAAAAAAGGGAAAATATGAAACTGCTCTACTAACGGAAATATGGAATGATCTTTTGGGAATTATGAATAAAACAAGTCTAAGTTTACAGAATAGCACCCTTTCCATGGACGTTGTAACGAAACTTTACGAATCTTTGATCTGTTATGTCATTACCGCACGCAATAATTTTAATCAGTACGAAACGGCTGCTAAAGAAAAAACTTCATTTGCTGACTACAAAGATACATTTGAAAGAAAATAAAATTCGTAGCACAAGCATCACTTTTTTTGAAGGATCATCAGAGACTACACAGTTGAGAGGCTTCGTGTAGATACTTTCGTTTCCATAATTCATACATTAAATACACATTTAAAAAAACGTTCGGCAGCATACCAAGATATTTATAGTCGATTTAGTTTTCTTTGTCAGTTGATAACAATTGAATCTGGCGAGTTGATAAAAAAAAATGTAAAGAATTTTCAGAATTTTATGATGAAGACATTAATGCAGATGAGCTCAAAATAGAATGTTTTCATTTAAGCCAATATTTAAAAAAAAACAGCAAAGCAATCAGCTGATTTAAATATCTCAAACTTACATAACCTAATAAAATCAGATAAATTGGAAGAAACTTTTCCAAACGTAGAAATTGCTACTAGAATATTCCTTTGTCTAATGGTTACCAATTGCAGTGGAGAGCGGTCATTTTCGCAGTTCATAGAATAAAAAATGAATTGCGAACAACAATGCTACAAGAACGACTGAGTAGTTTGTCAATTATCTGCATGGAAAGTGATATCCTTCAAAAAATTTACTTTAAAGATATAATAGAAGATTTTGCTCATCAGAAATCCCGAAAGAAATCGTTATCTTAATATCGTAATCACACATACACTCACACACACACACAAACACACACCAACACTCATCATTATTAATGACATTTAAAAAATACTTTATTTGATTACCATTATTAAATGTAAAAAAAGAATTAGTATAAGTCGCTTTTTTTACTTTCAAAAAGGGCCCGAAACTCTTGTGTGCCCAAGAGCCACAGCTTAGTTTAAGATTGCCCTGATCACGGCTACGGAATCGTTGAAATTGTTGTTAAAGGTAGTATATGTCGTCGAGGCGTCCATGAACATTTCTTAATGACGGTAAGATCGAAAAAGTTAAACGAAAAGTGTTTGAAATTTGCTTTCTTTGCACTAAAGAGCCAGCAGAGGATCTCAACATCTCTTATGGGTTAACCGACGATCAATGTTTTGGGTATGTAGCTTATCAATTCTAGACGTTGAGTAGAGGTCTCAAATGAGATTATTCGCAACGCAGCTGAGAACCTAGTTGACAGTGAAGTTGACAACGAAACTGTCCAATAATCCGGAAACCAAAACAACAAAAACAAAAAAAAAACGTGGAGGGAGGAACGTGTCTTCGACCTGTTGCCAGAGTTAAGTATCTAAGGCTCATCGTAGACCGGAAGCTTTCGTCCCAACATCGAGAAAAGAGAAAGGAAGACATCGGTTGCCTTGTACTGTTGCAACGGAGGCATAGGAAAATAGTTAATACTGCGCTTATCTGGCGGCGTGGACCATCGGTGTCCACAATTATTTATACCATTAATTTAGAAACCATACTAGAAAGCGACACAGTGCTAAAATAAAATAGATTGGGAAATTATAAATTAATTTATATATTGTAGGCGTTTGTAACATAAATAATTTTTTTTATATTGCCATCTTGTGCACACAATGTATAGAGACTTATGTAGATAAAACGCGCAGGGTAGAAGAGAGGTAGACTCCTTATCTCTAGCATCGTGTTATTTCGTGATTAGACTGGTTTGAGTATTGGAAACCGAAAGGCTGATGAGCCTGCAAAGGCAAGCACTTAAACCACAAGCTGGAACAGGCATTTAAGCCACAATAATTGTGTCCTCACTGGACTGATGGGTTTCAGACCAAATCAGCAAGCGCTTGTCGACTACCAGCAACTGTGCAGTCAAAAGATCCTTCTGGCTCAGGATAAATTCCAGGAGATCCCCCTTTCAGTGGTTGTGAGAGTTCTGACTGGACACTGTCCGATCAGAATTTCTCCTCAAATGTCCTGCTTCTGACAGATCAACGCAAAAGCTGTCATCCGAATTGCTTTTGCGTTGATCTTCAGACATCCAAGTTAAACAGCAGAAATTGAAATAAAACACCTTAGCAGATTTGTTATAGGTTCAGGGCGCTTTCACCAATTGATGATAACCAACTACAGGAGCCATTTTAACCTAACCTAAGTAAACGTAGTAGGAGTTTCTAACGTAATTCTTTTCTTGTCTATTTTATTGTTTATTGAGATATTTCTAATTTTAATTGAGTTATCTTGTGTATGAACGGATGGGGAGATAGCCATAATAAATCATTTTGATTTACCATTCTCAGCATTTTAACACAAAATTACTCATCTGGCTATGGAGCTTCTGGTGTTGAAAAGATCTTTTCGGAGGACATAATTGGTACACTGAAATAAGCTAAAAATATGTAATACATAAGTATAGTATGTGTTATTCATATCAAACACAAGCCCATAACTTGTTTCGTTTTCGTTTAAAATTTTTTCCTTAAGCCTAAATATATGCTATAAAATTTATATGTATACAATACTAACACATATACATAAATTATTATAGATTAGTGCACGCTTAATCCTTTTCTTCACGACTTTTGTAAGAATACTAATCGCAAATTGAAAGTGTAAGAATTGAGGAATTGACGCTGTTTCCACGACAGTCGGGTCAACGTAACCAGAACAGAGCTGGATTTTTACCCGGCCTAGGACTGCCATTCTGGGCAATTCCTCCAAATAACTGCATACATATGTAAATGCATTTGCAGCTAAAACAAGAACAGGAATAAAAATGGATCAGGTTAGATAAAAAAAACAATAGGTTAGAAAAAAATCGGATATGCACTTTTATGTAATACTTCATAAATATGATTTTTATAAACTTATATTCAATGCAGTTTTTGTTAAGGTTTTAAATACTTTCAAACGATTTAATAATTTTATTTATAGTATATTTTTTTCTCCCAAATAATTTTAAGATAAATATAATCTCCCTAATAGTTAGTATTTCAGAAATTTCAAAATTCCTTGTTGCATATAAAAGCAACTCTGTGTATACCTATACATAAATCAGCTGATCGGAAAATCTGTGTAAATCTGATAAATATTTATGCTTCCAAACATTGAAGAAAGAGAAATTTTGAATTTATAATTGGGAACAGTTTTGCTAAAATTTTTAAAATATTTAATGTTTGCCAAACACATTATAAAGTGAAGTACAGCAGAATGGAAAGGGGAACAATCTTGATATTAGTTGGTTGTCTGCAGATTTTGCATTGTCTGATTTTGGTAAGCAGTGAAAATGTCGGCATAGCAACGTCATCAGTGCAAAATGCATTGCCAAATAATACGACAAAAAATAACACAGAGTCTTTGTCACAATTATTAAATACAACGGGAAGCAATGCCAATGTGAATAAGAGTCGCAATATATCACCAACTGGAACGGAAATCAACACGAAAAGTGCAAATATACCGATTGATCGAAATAACAATAAGACGGAGGCGTTAGGAATAAACGGTGTGGCTACTAAAAATTCGCAAAACAAAAAAGATAGCCCCCAAAATTCTACCACTAACCTTGGTGTAATAACAGTGAATGCAACAAATGTAAGAAGCCTAAAGGACAAGTTAAAAACAACAATTTTAAAACCGGGGATCCAAAACGAAAATAACTTGCAAGCATCAAATAAAACAACGGAAATAAAATATATTACGAAACCAACACCAACTACCGTATCAACCAAAGGAAAAACCGTATCCAGTAATACAACTACCACTACTACAACCACCAAAACCACCACCACAACGACAACCACACCCAAGCCAAAGAAACCAAGTATCACTTTTGGACTTGGTGATTTCCCAATTTTGCCAGGAGAGTCGAACGTTATAAATGCGATGGTAGCATCTAACTCAAAACTGCCAGTGGCTAACGACCCCGTCGTGCCACCGAATGTGCAACCGTCACAAGAGTTAAACAATGGGTTCAACTATTATAGCAGCCGAGATTACATAGTACCCATAATGACAGTTCTCTTCACAATACCCTTGGCAATTGGAGTTGTTATTACCACTTATCGCCGTTTCCGTGATTGCTGGTCTACGCGACATTATCGCCGAATGGATTTCTTGGTTGATGGCATGTACAATGATTGACATATGTATACTAAAGATATATCCGATATCACCATCGGAAAATATAAAGCAGAGACAGATAATGATAATGCTGTAGAAATTGCACAGCAATTATTGCCACAAAACACAGTAACAATATCTTAATACATAGTAGTTGTGACATAAGAGAGTGAGATTCGATAAATAGTAATTAAAAGCAAAACTATTAGTTTTTACAAACATTTTTAAAATCTACATTTGTTTATAATCGAAATTCGCATGTAGTTTGCGAATACTTTGTAATTTGAAAGCTAAACGAACTATGAACTTGCAAATATTTACGGGCATTCATAAAATTTACTGTATTTAGTAAAATCTTCTGTTGAAAAATATGTCTTTGTACTTCCGAAAACGTTTGAACTACTGTCATTTTGTAAAATATTTTATTTGATTAAAAAAAATACGTTAAAACTAATCCAAACGATATATACAATTGTAGCATTTTAAGATAAGCATTTTTAGTTATCATCTGTGGCAACAATTGGCGTTCGTTGATTGAAAAACAAATGTTTTTTAATTAATCAAAATTTAAGCCAAATTCCTTAAAAAGAAAACAAGTATAGTACATACGGTGCAATTTAGAGCTCAAAAATTACCAAATCTTATATTTAAATGTAATACACTTAAGCATAGCATTTATAGAAAGTAAAAGCACATATTTTTAAAAAGATATTTCAGAAAAGCTAAAGTATTAAATTAGATGACTCGTTTGAGTTACCCATTTTTTAATTGGCTTCCATATGATTATTAAAAGAAATACATATATAAAATATATTTTTCTTTTCTGTGACAATAATTTAAAAGCAAATGAAAAATATAAATATTGAAGTCATTAATATTGAAATTAGTATTGCTAATATATGAAAGCAATTACAAAAATACATAGATTTGAAAGTGCCTTATAAATGCTAAGGCATTTTTTTTTCATATAGGGTACGTCTAATTTTTGTGCATAGTTATTAAGAAAGTATAAAAAATGAAATTAAAAAATAAAAATAAATAATTAACCCTAAAGATAAAAGAAAAAACATTTGTGTATTGATAATAATCATATGTATGTACATATGTATATATATAAATACTTTGTAATATATACGGGCTGAATAAAATTAATAAAAAAAAGTTGGCTGCGTTTTTAAGGATTAAAAGCGGTTAAATTCGGTTTCGGGGAAAAAAGTTAAATGGCAAATTCAAACATAACAACAGATTTAAAGCTGTTCTGTTGACAGATTTTTCACATTGACATTTTTTAACCTTGTTTTCTTATTTAATGAAATAACCTCACGAAATGTAGCATAGATAGGCAACGGTACAATATCTAAAGATAAACCATACAAACTGACCGGTCAAAATCAAGTTATTTTACTGGAAACTGTCTTCTATAGCAATAGCCATGATTTTCAGTTTTCAGAATATTAAATTTTTAGAGAATCTTCTTTATAGAATTGTCTACATCTGGAACAAGCCATATCCCCAAATTAAAATTTTAACTATTTATCAATTTTTTTGCAATTAAAATGGCAGTAAAAAAAATATAATCAAAAAGTAAGTTTGGCCGCTCCCACGATTGTCTTCTCTAATACGAAAGTAGAACGGGCTCGATTTTTTATCGGCAGAATTCTGCCGCTACAGCAACAAAAACAATAAGTGAGTTTAACATTTCGAAGAGAGAAACCGTCATTTCGAAGCCCCTTCTTCACGGAGTTGCCTTGCATCCTATTTGACATGTGTTTGTGTATTTACCCCTTCTAACCAAAACATTTACGACCCCAAATGGAAAATTGAACACTGCTTGATAAATTTACTCCAAAACGACCCAATAATTTGCCTGTTCATTGACTGATTAGCCAAAGAGATTATTGCGGCAGAGGATGCTGTATGAGTGGATCAGCCATGCAGTACATTAACAACTCAATAGAAATCAGAAACATTCATGTATTCATGCACGGTCGATGAAAACAAGAATGTCTAAAAATATATGTAAAAGCATGTACGTTTGTAGGTAGGTGCTTGAAAATAAATATGTATGAATGTGCCATATATTCCGTTTCGAAACAAAAATTTACATTTTCATTTAATTAGAAGAAAATAAAACTAGTTGCCACTAGTTGACGGCTATATTGTTTGTAAAAATTATAAACAAATGCATGTAGACGCAATACCCTGGAAATATTTTCCAGTGTTTGCCGCCAAGTTTTGTATATGTACGTAAATAAGAACACCTCATGGAATATAAACACTGGACCAAAAAAAATGTAGACGTTCATGAACAATCGTATACAACTACATATCAACACACATACGTAGGTACGTACAGACACATATTAAGCACAAAAGCATATAATAATTTTGAAAACTCTTCGCGCTTTCCAATTTTGTTTAACTCAATTTAGTTGCTTTTCCTAGCTCCCAACGTTTAGATCATCTAATCGGCCAGTATTAAAGCTAGATATTTGCTTACTTGGTGCAGTGAAATTTTGCAAATAGCGCGCGTTTACAAATAGTAAAGAACTAACGCTTTCGTTGATAATATTTAAAAATGAATACTACGTCTAGTCAACATCGCCCGCGTGTAAATGCCGCCTCTTCACATGCTATCAGCTATCCAACAACGGAAGTCCGGTCGCCAACTACGCAAGGATCACGCGTCTACCAGGGACTGAAAACATGTACATACCCACAAGTTTACTGTGTACAATATTAAAAAAAAAAACGAAAACTTTTCAAAATTGATATTTTTGTATAGTAAATTGATTAAGTAAAAAAAATAATAATTTATGGACATATTTACATGAAAAGTGAAAAAGCCACTATTGCTAATATGCACATAATTTCAATAATTAATAACAAGCAATTTTGTTGAATCTTAAAAACCACCAAAAGTACCGCAAAGTTCAACAAAATTTTAACGATATTGCTAAATTCAGCTGGAACTTGCCTTTATAATTGTTCGATCTGAACAAATTCTTCCATGCCCAATTTCGATAAGATACATTTATCATAAAAAAAAATACGCAATACAGGGACTTTGATCCGGCTAATAAGCAGCTACTTGGTTAAAAAAGATGTGAAAATTTTCAGATCGTATTGGTATATACATACATACGTACAGACGGTCATGGCTTAATCAACTTAGCTCGTCACTCATTTAGATACTATATAGGATAGTAAAAAAAATATTTTCGTATTTCTAATCAAACCGAAACAATTGGTAGTCCGATGGTACTAGGTCAGGGCTATATGGGGATTCGTCAAAACTTCTCAGCCAAGCACTACCAGATTTTTCCGAGTCATCAAAGATGTGTGTGGTCTAGCGTTGTCCTGATGGAAGACGAACCCCTTTCTGTTGATCAGTTCTGGCCGTTTTTTTTCGATTGCTTGCTTCAATTTCATCAGTTGTTGACAGTAAAATGTAGAATCAGCATAACCTTTCGAGGCATCAACCTTGGTTTTGCGACCATTTGTTAAGCTTCTAAACGGCCCCACATTATTGTCGTATTTGATCCACTTTTCATCTCCTGTTACCATTCGCTTCAGAAATGGTTCGATTTGATTTTGTTTCAGCAAAGAATCGCAGTCCATTAAAGTTTTCACAGACAATTCATGTGGCACCCAAACATCGAGCTTCTTTTTGTAGCCAGCATTTTTTAAATGGTTCAAAACCGTTTGATGATGAATGTTAAGTTCCTTAGTGATATAATCGCTGCTTATGTGATGGTCCTGGTCAATATTTTCCATAACCTCATCGACTTTTTCAACCATAGGTCGACCAGAGCGGGGTGCATCTTTCACATCGAAATTGCGATTTCTGTGCTACACGAACTGATACAGCATCGCCTCCGTAAACTTCACAATATTAATTAATTGGCATTCTTTCCTTTTTTACACAAAAATTTCAAAATATATACAATTTCTTGACTATTTTAACACATTTTTGAACAGCTGTAAGTTTTTGTCAACTTCCCCGAACTTAATTTTAAATGAAGCTTAAAATCTCACCCTTCAAACTCGATATGGTATGACAATACGACTGCAACGACATCTAAATACTTTTTCGACTAACCAATATACATACATATGTATATACTTTATAGGGCATCCGTTGTTTCCTTCTGGGTGTTACAAACCTCGTGGCAAACTTAATATATTCTGTTCAGTATATAAAAAGTAAGAAATCTGTAATAAAACTTTCTAATTTTACATATTAGCACTCGTATCCTTGTTACAGGGATTTCTATGATAAAAATACTCGGAAAACATTTCTAGTATGTATTTCAATTACTTAATTCAAGGGTTGGTCGGAAATAATTTTTAAATAGCGGGGAATGATCTAGGACCGTTAATATTTAACCTAAGGAGAAACACTGCTTTTCCTTTTAATGCCTTTCTATTACACAATTTTTGTGCAACATACCTAATAAATATATACATACATATGGACAAATATTTATATTGCATATTGAGAATATTTATGCCATTAATCGCCTTGTTTGCTATATAATAATGCATAAACATTAAAAAATTATATAAAAACACTAAAATGGTATATTCCTTAAATTTAAACAGTTGTATATATATGTATGTATGTATGTACTAAAATTGTCTTTTGTGTACGTACGTATGTACATACATACATAAGTAGGCAGGCTTTAATTTTTTTTGTTTATATCATTAGAAAATCAAATCGTAAAATAAGATAAAGGTAAACAGTTTTAGATACTCGCCATTGACTGATACTTTTACAACAGTATATAGATATATGTATATGTGTGTATATTATATTATAATATGTATGCAATGCAAAATCGAAAATACAACTATTATGCGCTAACCTATAGCAGCAAATTCTTCGTATAATATAAAACACGATTTATCTTCTAACTTGCTAACTTCTTAAATATAAACAAGGTAATGTTCATTCGCAATTTCAGCGCCAAATGGTGTTTGAGAGATAAATAAACACTTGAAATGCCAACGAAGTGCATTGAACGGGAAATAATTTACCTTGTCGATGGATATGTATGTACATATCTACAGATATAATTAATATACAGTGATTTGATTAATTTTGCAACTAAATTTACAGCTATCAGCATACCCTGCAGTGAAACATTCTGCTAGCTAGAAGAACTAACAGTCCACAATTGTAATTTTTCAGCCCAAAAATCTTTTTATGAAAAATTGGTGCAGGAAGAGAGCAAGTTTATTTGACTTAAAGTAATATAATGGAAGGACATAAGATCTTTCAATTTTGGAAAAATGGTCCGATAATAATAAGAGCCCTTTGAGTGTCATATCTTTCCAAACCATATGTCGCGATCTAACCAAAGGATTCTTTCTTCTTCATGATTTTACACCGGTCTTCGAGATTAAAACTATTTGGAAAAAAAAATCGCAAACACAGTTTCGAGTAAAACGCATTTAAAGTTTTAAGCTGACTATAGGATAGAGCTGAATACGAGCGCTCAACTTTTCAATGCTATATCTCCAGAACTATTGCTCGGATCACATTGAGCATTTCAGGCAATATCTGGCATAACATTA